CTGACAAAATTAAATTGGTATAATTTCTATTCATTCACACCGGACAGCTATTGTTGTGTTGGCTGTTGTCATTTTTTATTTGACAGTCTAAGGGAAAAGAAGTCAGTGCGTCTGACTAAATAGGTATTGCATGTTTAAAAAAATTCTTGGGGCACACCGGTTGCAAATTGCTGCTGTAGGCAATTGTAAAGTCTTGTGCTCCAAAATTACGATGGCTATGAGGCCCTGGCCAGTTTGACTCAGCGGTTGAGCGTCGGCCTGCGGACCAGAGAGTCCTGGGTTCGGTTTCCGCTAGGGGCACGTACCACAAAACAAAACAAAAAGATGGCTATGAGGTCACTAGGTGATAGGAATTTTTCAGCAGCATTACAATCTTATGGGACCACTGTTGTATATGTGGTCTGTCATTGACTAAAAAGTCATTAAGCAGCATGTGACTGTATATAACATGTAATACTAGTTAATTTAAATAAAAAGAGCCGGGCTGGTTTGGCTCAGTGGTTGAGCATCGACCCCTGCACCAAGTGGTTGCCAGTTCGATTCCCGGTCAGGACACATGCCCAGGTTGTGGGCCCGATCCCCAGTGGGGGGCGTGCAGGAGGCGGCCAGTCAATGTTCTCTCTCATCGATGTTTCTTTCTCCCTCTCCCTTTCTCTAAAATCAAGAAAAAAAATTAAAAAAAAAAATTTTTTAATACTATGTAGCTGAAGAGAATACTTGTTCCTCTGAAGCTCCCTGTTGTTTCCCTCTACCATATCCTTCTACCCTCCCCAGCGAGAGATCATTGCTGTCCTGAATATTGTGTTAATCATTCCCTTGCTTTTCTTTACAGTTTGACTGTATAACGAATTTATCCTTAAACAGTGTTGCTTGGTTATGCCTGTTATTTGAATTTTATATCAATGGAATCATATTGCATGCATTTTTTCTGTGTTTTTTCTTTTTGCTCAATATTGTTTTTGGGTTTTTTTTTCTACTTATTATCAGATAGAGTGAGAGGGAGGGAGAGAGAGACAGAGAGAAACATCGATGTGATAGAGCCACATTGACTGGTTACCTTCCCCACCAGGGCTGGGGACGAACCGCAACCGAGGTACGTGCCCTTGACTGGAATCGAACCTGCAACTCTTTGGTCCATGGGCTGACCCTCTAACCACTGAGCCAAACCGGCCAGGGCTCAGTATTGTTTTTAAGAGTCACATAAGCCAATAAACATAGCTGTAGTTCAGTCATTTTACAGTTATGTGTTCCATTGTTTGGGTGTACAATTATCCATTCTGTGAATGGACATCCGTGTCTATGTCTCTTAGTACCCACATAGTTTTCCCTTGGGTATGAACTTGCTGGATCATAGGATATGCTCACTGCACACCTTCAACTTGATGGGTAATGCCAAACTTTCTCAAGCAATTGAACCAGTTTATATTTAATCAACAGTGTGTTGTCTTCTTAAAGGCTCCCCTTCTTGATTCCTCCTGATACAAGCTCTTATATGCCATTTACGAATAAATGTATGAATCATAGCTACTCCACTGGGATAATTTCCTATCTTAACATTCTTTCCTCTTACTTTTTTCTTTTCTTTTCTTCATTGTAGAAGAATCCACAGAGTCCCTATAATCTTGCATATAAGTATAATTTTGAGTATTCAGTGGTTTTCAACATGGTACTTTGGATAATGATCGCCTTGGCCTTGGCTGTGATTATCACCTCTTACAATATTTGGAACATGGACCCTGGATATGATAGCATCATTTACAGGATGACAAACCAGAAGATCCGAATGGATTGAACTTTCCTTAAGGCAAACTTAGAAAAGGGGTTCGGAAATTAGCTGTTATGTGAAAATAAATCTTTTAGTATAGTTTCAAGTGGGCAGTATACTTTACTTTTTTTTTTAAAAAGCAAATTTTGTTCTCTCTTTTGTGTGTGCCTGTGAAGTTGTTTTAGAGTGAATTATTGTATTGATGTGAATTGATTTGTGTGATTACATAATATGCTCAATTATATAACCATGAATTATAATTTCATTCCATTTAGTATTTGAAAATAATGCACTGAAATAAATGTAAAACATTTAGAATAGTTTGTGTTATTTATGTTGACAAAATGCACTGAATTTATTAGATTATGAACGCTTCCTTATACAGGATAGGTGAAAATGATATTGGGTGGTTATATACTATGAAGTATTGTAAATGTCTTAATGTGATGTAAATACCTCTGAAACAAGAGAAAAGATTTTTAACTTCAGAGCAGCCCTAAACTATGCATGTATGTGTACAGTCCCTTAGATCTGGAACTGCACCTAATTTTTTAACCTCTTTTGAAAGTTTGGTGATCCGGATGGTCTAGTGTGGATATTAAAGATACATTGATCGGAGAAGAAACTAGCTTTGTGGAGTTATAAGTGCTCATAATTATGCAGACAAAAACAAATATTTGGGGGATATCTTGGGGCATGAACATAAAAATCTCTTCATTTCAGTAGCTTTTCCCTCTGTGTAAGTTACTATGGTTTGTGGTACAACATCATTATAGAAGATTAAGTGTAAGTAGATGCTCCCTACTTTTTATGTAGAAGTGGACCAATGTCTATAAAGAGTGACAAATAAAGTTAATAATGATTCTAAATGTGTGTCATTTCAATACTAAATCTATTTTATATTGCAAAACCCTAACTAAACAGGATTTTACTTAATCAGAATTGGCTCTTTTTATTCACAGTCTCATGCTTTTTTTTCTATATTTGTTTATTCTCACAGCCTCCTGAGGTCGTACCAAATAGAAGATAGACACTTTTTTTTTTTCTTTATTGCTTTGAAAGAGAGAGGAGAGAGGAAGGGAGAGGAAGGGAGAGGGAGAGATAGAAACATCGATGAGAGAGAACACTGACTGGCTGCCTCCTGCATACACCCCACTGGGGATCGGGCCCACAACCTGAGCATGTGCCCTGACCAGGAATCGAACCAGCAACCTCTTGGTGCATGGGTTAACACTCAAGCACTGAGCCACACCTGCCGGGCTTCCTATAGCATGTAAAAAGACAAAAGGCAATTAACTGGTTAGAATATGAAGGACTATTGAAAGTAAAGGTTTAGAGGTTATAATATTTTTAAAAGACATATTAGAATTTAAAATTTCATGATGACGTAGCTAAATTATTTTAGTATGAGTTACACTGCCCTGCCCCTGGGTACTGGGTTTAGTACTAGCTGTTTCTGCCTCTTCTTTGGCAAGATCGTCTAATCATTGCTCTAAATAACACTGAGGATTGGCAGGTTTAAGATGGGAGTCTATTTAGTTGTGTTTTCTACAACTTACTGCAAGATACCTTTGGCAACTGCAGTGTTTAGCATCCACAGAGTGGAGAAAGTTTTTGTTTTCTTTTTGCTTCCCATTAAACTATAAATAATAGTGAAGCTGATCATCAATTCCACAGGGAAGAAAAACAACACTGTTCTAAAATCACTCAAGTAACCCACTGCCAAGTTTATGGGGTGAGAGTTTTTCAGCTGCCTAGCCCCAAAACACTGACCCCCAGGGAACCCAATAGGGCGTATGTTTGGGAAGCAGGAATCTAGAATGCTGCAGTGATTCAAGTTCATTTTTCTTTCACGAGTTTCTTCTATAAACAGTGCATAGAAGTTAGATTGTTATGATTAAATATGAAGTAAACCAATGCCTTTGTAATTTAAAACTGATGAGACTTTAAGTTCTAGGGGAAGAAAAAAAATTAATTACATGACAGCACTAATCCTTATAGGGTAAATGGCATCAGCACCCTTCTATCTATGTTAGACAGAAAGCAATTAATTAAAATAAATGTTCTGCCAAGATTATTATACCTGTTGCTGATGATTTGCTCTTAAATTAAGTCTAATTTGTTCAGGAACATAAATCACAGTGTGTGAGGCAGGAAAGCCAGACTCACGGCTGACTATTCCACTAGCACTGAAAGAAAAACCCGATCACTTTGTATCTAATTGGTAGAATATTCGGGGTTTATAAAACATCTGAGATTTTACACTGCTAATGGCCTAATTCTATTAGGAATATTACAGAATCAATTTTTATTTTCTTGTGCTGTCTCTTGTGAAGGAATGATATCCTCAATCCATTTTCATTGGTACCAAATACGGAACGAAGCCATAGACTTAGCTTTTTTAAAAAACACCTTTTTATTATAAAAGTACAAACTATTGCATAGGTCTTAATACTTAAAGGCCAAGTGTATTCATGAACAGTGAGAATCTTCATATGAACAGCTCTAGATGGAAGACCCAGATGGTACTGGAGGGGGAGGGGTTCCAGCCCCCACCCCAGGCAGCTCTACCCTCACAGAGAAAACTTCTGTACAGGGCGGGCCAAGGGTCAAATGCAGCTCCTAGGTGTATATTTTTTTGCTAGTGTCAAAGATACCCCAAGTGATCCCAACACCTTCATACTTTTATAATTCATTCATCTATAAGAAAATAGGTCAGTAGTGAAGCCCTGATTTTTAAAAAATAATACAAATGCAAAAACAGAACCAAACACCTTGGCCTCTTCAGACCACGAGATACACAAAACACCTCGCTACCCTACCATCCCACCAGGGCTGGCTACCAGGAGAACATGGCAGAGGCCAGTGCAGCCCATCTGCTCTCCTGGCTGTCACACCACTGTTGTCTTAACTGTCAGTGACAATAAAAATAAGGTACATGCTACATAAACATCCTGCCAGAAGCCCGGTTAGCCCCTACACCTTAGTTTCGTGCTACAGTACTGAGGGGCCAGTGTGTGCCTCTCAGTGAGAAGCCACCTGCACACACCCCAGTGAGTGTACCAGGAAAGACCCCCACACACCCACACCTTCATCCTCTCAGGTGGCTGTTGTCAGTTTTCTAAGGACAACAGTCGCTCAGCTCCTGCCTGCCGATGCCCACCCAAAAAGTTGAGTTGTCTGCCGTGGGGGCAGTGTCAGCCCCCCAGGCCCAACCTCAACACTCAATGCGCAGCTATTCGGAGCTGTACAGCTTCTTCTTGATGAGTTGGAAGCTGGTGCTCAGCGTCAGGGACTGGCTGAAGGGAGAGTTGGGGGAGCTGAACAGTCCCTGGATCTTGGACCACAGGCATGAATCCAAGCGCAGCACGAGGGTCAGCTGGAAGGTAGGCACCAGGCTGGGGTGGAGGGCCAGCTGGCCGACGCTGTGGCATCTGTTGCCCTGCTCTACGCGGACATCCAGCAGCGCCCCCCGCAGGCCGCACGGCTCGCTGTAGGCCAGGCACAGTAGTTGTTCGCCCAGCTGGCTCACCAGCCGGGCGGGCATCAGCAGGCGCACGGGGCCCCACGAGCCCAGTCTGGCCTGGGCCAGGTTCTCCTGCAGCAGCTGCATCAGGCTGGCACACAGGTGCTTGTCCTCGGGGTCTCTGAGAAGCTCGAAGTCGGGCAGGGGCGCCCCATCCAGGTATTCCGGGTCTTCCTCCAGCCTGAAGCCGCCGTTACTGTCGTCCAGAGACTCGCAGTCGGAGCTCTCCGGGCGCAAGCAGCAGCAGAGCACCTCTTTTCGGGCCGCCAACCCCCAGGCCGAGAGCAGTGGCTGATCTGGGGTGGGAGCTGGGGACAAGGACACCGGCGAGGAGGAGGAAGAGGAGAAGCAATCCCAAAGGCTAGGCATGGTGAGGCCTGGCACCAGGACGTGTGCGGATCAGCTCGGTGCAGGAGCGCGGAAGGTGCGGCTTGCGAAGTCAGCGAGAACTGCTGGGACAAGTACCGCTTCAGTGGGGGCGTGAACTGGTGCCACCCCCCAGCACTGCCCAGACATGTCCCTTCTGCCCGCCCTCACCTCCCCATTTTTTTTTTTTTATCCTCACCCGAGGATATTTTTCCATTTTTTGTACAGATAGAGTGGGAGCGAGAGAGAGAGAAACATCGACGTGAAGGGACACATCGAGTGGCTGCCACCCACACGACCAACCAGGGCCGGGGACAAACTGCAACTGAAGTACGGCCCTTAGCGGGAACCGAACCCGGGTCTCTCCGGACCGCAGGCCGGCGCTCTAACCGCTGAGCCAAACCGGCCAGGGCCACCTCCCCATTTTTAATGGACGATCAAACCAACAATTTCCAAAGTAACATAGGAACTGGGGTCAATGACCATTCTATAATTCACGTAGTGGCATCACGCCTTCTAACCTTAGGCTTAAGCCAAGTTTCTTTCTAGCCTTCTCATGGAAGAAGGACTATGCAGTGGCTTACTGGAAAAAACAGAGTTGGGGAATCCATTAGTATGAAGCACTGTAATTAAAATGCACAAGTCATACAGATGAGTTCGGTTCACCACTTCACCACTTACTGGCTGAATAATTCTGGGCAAATCCCTTAATCTCTTAGAATCAAAGTTCTTAATATATATAAATGGGGTGGTAATACTCCAGGTTTATAAAAGTTCGCACTCAGTGGGATAACATGTTTTAAGGTTTGTGAATGCTTAATATAAACTATAATAACAGAACTAAATTCAAGGAATTCTGCTTGGACCCAAAATTGTACCATGGGAACACTAGCCAGCTTCTTGGTTGCAAACACTAGTAACAAACTGGTTAAATTATGTTAATAGGCCTACTAATGACCTTTTACTGGATCAAGATCCAATTTAGGAACACACAGTGCATTTAGTTGTCATATCTCTTTAGTCTCTCTTATTTGGGGACAGCTCACTTTTTAAAATATTCTAATAAACTGAAAGCAACAAATGAACAAACAACACAAACAAAAACAGACACAGACAACAGTATCGGGGGTGGGGTAGTTCACTTTTGAAGAGTAATGGCCAGTTATTGTATGGGATGCCCCTCAATTTGGGTTTGTTTGATGTTTGCGACGAAGAAATTCAGGTTGAGTCGTTGGAAAGACCACCACAGAAGTGGCGTGTCCCTCTCAGCGCATCCTTATCAGGAGGCGTATGATATCAATGTCTCATTTTGGTGATGGTACCTGGTTAAGGTGGTATGTGCCAGGTTTCTCCCCTATCAAGTTTTTATTGGTTTCAGAGAGAGGAAGGGAGAGGGAGAGAGAGAGAAACACTGATGAGAGAGAAACACCGACCTGCCCTCCTGCACACGCCCCACCTGGGGCACAGATTAATACTCAGCCACTGAGCAACACTGACTGGGCTACCTGGACACTTCAAGACTATGTTTATATTCCATTCTTCATCCTACTTTCACCCATTCATTTTAGCATTCATTGATGATTCCTGTGGTGTTTGCCAAATAATGATTTTTCTCAATCCATTATTCCTTTTATATTAACTGGGATTCTGTAAAGAGCTTTCCCTTCTCTCCCATTAATTTATTCTTTAACCTGTTAACCGAGCAGGACGTATAAATACGTCAAACGTTGCATACAGTAAAAAGGGAATTCCCTGGTTAACAGGTTAAAAAAAATTTTTTTTCCTTTATTGATTTTAGAAAGGAAGGGAGAAGGAGAGACACATAGAAACATCAATGAGAGAGAACATCGACTGGCCGCCTCCTGCATGCCCCCTACTGGGGATCAGGCCCACAACCTGGGCATGTGTCCTGACCGGGAATCGAACCAGCGACTTCTTGGTGCATGGGTCCACGCTCAACCACTGAGCCACACCGGCTGAGCCCATTAATTTATTTTATTTATATTACCTGAACTCATGGATATTTGTTTTAGTCTCTGTGTTATATTCCATTATCATCATTTATTTAGTCACTTAACTGTCCCAGATTGGGCCAATGGGAGCCCCTTTTGTTGGCTCCTGTGTCCTTTTGACGAGTCCTCTTTATTTTTTGAGCACTTGTCTACTTTCTGGCACCACATATTTATGGGCTAAATTTTCAAGTAAACCACCTCTATGTGAAACCTTTATGTGAGGGGGAGAAAGATGGGTGGGACAAGTACAGAAAGAAAAAGTGGTATCATTTAGAATAAACAAACATAATACATGACAGAATGAGGAAGGAATCAGGGGGTAGATGTTCTTGTCACTTCAAAAGATAACAAGGTCATGTTTTGGGGGTTCTTTTTGAGTTTTTTTGAAACATTTTTTTGTTGATTTTTTTTAGAGAGGGCAAGGAAGGGGGGGAGAGAGAGATACATCGATGTGAGAGAGAAACATCCATCAGCTGCCTCCTGCACGCCCCCCACTGGGGATCGAGTCTGCAACCCGGGCATGTGCCCTGACTGGGAATCGAACCTGGACCTCTCAGTCCATGGAACAATGCTCAATCCACTGAGCCACGCCAGCTGGGCTTTTTTTGTGAGTTTTTTTAATCAACCACACCATCAACGTTCCCCTTACCTTCCAAGGAGTCTTTCAGTAACTTGCCCGTGGGCCAAGTGGGCTGATGAAAGCGGCCCACAGACTGGTGCAGGTCTGGGCTGTTATCAGTCTGCGATATGATAAGTACAAAAGCGGCTATCAGTGCTGAGAAATTTTTATAGCAATTTGACGTTACATCCTATCCAAACACATGATCAACAGACTCATCTCACCGAGCAAGGCACAGACCAAGTTGGGTATTGTAAAGCCTGCATGATGAGTCACATAGAGAACAGGCTGTGTCCTAGTCATACACAACAAACCAAGCCATAATGGAAGACGGTTTAAGGTCAGTTTGCCAACTGTTACCCAGAGTATATCAAATTCAGAATTTATATTTAACTCTTTTACATCATGAATTGTTAGAACTGGATGACGACTTGAAGACATTTTGGGAATAAATAATCGTTTGCTTTTACTTTGGATGAAAATTAAAAATGAATATCCTGAGCTTTCTGAATTACTTTAAAAATATCTTCTTCCTTTCCTGTCAACATAGCTCTGTGAGACTAGTTTCTCTACTATAAACGTTAAGACCAAAGACAGAAATAGTTTAGCTATATACCATCTCCTACATGTAGAACTATCAACAATCCAACCTCAATTAGATAGGTTAACAAGCAACCAAGAGTATTTGTCACATTTAAAACTTTTAAATATTAATATGCATGGCTTTTGTTCAAAGTGTGCATATAGGCATTTAATGCAGGAAAATTGCTTTGATGCATAACTTTTTATTTAGTTACAACTATGGAATGATAAAGTTATGAATATAATCGTGATTAATTGCCTATAAATTCACTTTCAATGAAAGCATAGTTTTTTATAAATTTGTCCTGTTTCTGGTGATTATATATATATTTTTTAATTCTCACCCTCGGATATTTTTCCATTTATCTTCAGACAGAGGTGGGGAGAGAGAGAGACACATCGACATGAGAGGGACACATCGACTGGTTGCCTCCCACACGACCCCGGGCCAGGGATGAACCACAACCGAGGTATGTGCCCTTGACCGGAATCGAACCCGCAACTCTTTGGTCCAGTGGCCAACACTCTAATGCTGAGCCAAACCGGCCAGGGCTGATTATATTGATTTAAAATGCAATTTTACCCTAGCTAGCGTGGCTCAGTTGGTTGGGTGTTGTCCCATGCACTGAAAGGTTGCTGGTTCAATTTCTGGTCAGGCACATACCTGGGTTGCAGGCTTGATCCCGGGTACAGGGTGTGCTGATTAATGTTTCGCTTTCACAATGATGTTTCTCTCTCTCTCTCTCCCTCTCCCTACCTCTCTCTCTAAAAAAAAAAAAATCAATTAAAAAATCATTTTTAAAAAATGCAATTTATCTGTTAAATATAATAAAACTGGGCTTATATTTTCATCATTAAAAAGTTCACTTTCATTGTATTTTACAAAAATACCAGTCCACCATGGATTTGAAATAAAAAATTTTAAGTTGGTTTTTTTTTTTTTAAATTTTTTTTTCCCTTCATTGATTTTTAGAGAGAGAAGAAGTGAGAGGGAGAGAGATATAAAAACATCGATGAGAGAGAACATCAATTGGCCACCTCCTGCATGCCCCCCACTGGGGATCAGGCCCACAAGCTAGGCATGTGCCCTGACCGGGAATCGAACCGGCAACCTCCTGGTGCATGGGTCGACGCTCAACCACTGAGCCACACCAGCCGGACTTAAGTTGGTCCTTACCACAGTACAGAAGTAGTGCCCCAGTGGAACCCCTGTCTGTCCCGCTACCCCACTCCCACCTTGTGTGGCAACAACCGTACTTGTTCTTTGAGAGGAAAAAGAAGGTGCTATTGAGCTAGAAACTGTCCACAAAATGCCTGGAAGCAGAAAAGAAAATCAACTAATTCAGTGCAAAACTACTTTAAGAAGAAAAACAAAAAATATCAGCTAATGAAAATTCTCCCCATAAAAGCCAACCATGAAAATTCCAAACTGAACTAAATCCACTTAAACATGTTTTTCACTATAAAATACCCTAAAATCAGAAATGTAAAAACTAAGAATGGAAATGGCCAGACAGGTAGAAATAAATGCAAGAGAGTTGATTGAACTCAGGAAAGAAATTGAAGTCAAAGTAAAAGACAACCATCTCAAATGAATAAATTACAAGGCACCCAAGGGAGAATAGATTCAAATGGAAATTTAATAAAGGATACCGCATAAAGATGGGGGGGAAAAGAAAGTGAAAAGCAAGTAAACAAAAGGGTCAGAAAAAAGTGGATGAAATGGAAAATATACAAAAAAACTCCAACATAAATATAATTTGAGTCCTTTAGAAAAACAACAATGGAAG